AATATTTTATTTATAGAATTTCATAGTTCACTGTTTAGATGTTACTATATGTCACAGTCACCTGCCCATACTGACAAGGTCCAAGTGATATGTGTCACAGCAAGGGTTCAATGGTCAAATCATTGTAGTGCACATACTTGTTTGGACTTTCTGATTGACTCAATATTTGTTTTCTGAAACTTTGTAGTTGGATGTGTCATAACTAGATGACATATAGCTGCTGTACAGTCAGTACCCCAAAGTCAAGGCCACAGCAAGGGATCAAACCATTGTCATGCTTGTCGGGATCTAAATTCTGAATGGCGCAATATTTCTTTTATGAAATTTTATAGATGCATTATTAATGATGGGACGTTATTTCATGTACAATTGCAGGTAATTTTTGAGATCAAGGTAACTGCAAAGAGTTCAATGTCATGTCAATGTAATGCTTTTCTGGGTTGACAAAACTTCATATTAAGGTGTTGCTTGGGCGGAATGTGTGTGGATCCCGGATGGTGTATTGTGTATACAATAATCAGTCCATCATATATTGGACTGTAAAAATCAATGTCAAGGCAAAGGTCAAAGGTCAAATCACTGATCATTGTACAGACAGGAACTTCCAAGTCACACAAAATGCCATAGTTTTATACATTTATTTGTGTAAATTTCTTTCAGAACACACAGTGTGAGATTTGTGAAAAAATGATCAACATGGTTCGTGAGGTACTGAAAACCAAGTCAGTGGTAAGTCTGAACCCTTCCCAAGTAAAAAAAGATCCAAGTCTAAAACAGCTTCACAAATAAACAGTGTGAACATCTTACTGAGACAGTACATACTGTACATTGTAATTATAGCAACTGTGCATTAAAAAAAAAGAAGCTTACATTCATTGTCATTCATTGTTTATCATGATTATTGACATTGTTTTACTTAATTCCTCTATAGAAAATAGTCAGAATAGATTCAACCACCTGTTGATATTTGATGTTTACTTCAAATTCCTACCTATACTTTGTTAGGGATCCTTAGTGTAACTACCTCGTTATGGTGAATCTGTCTGATCAATTGTTTGCCTGTTTGTAGGACGATGTTATATCCTACATCAAGGACCTGTGTGATGTCCTACCATTTAACCAGACCTACAAGACAGAGGTAAGATAAGTAACAGTTTTTATACATTATATTGCAAAATGTACATTGTGATACCGTCTTTATTAATGGGGAGTTTATATTTATATTCTAAACTATACAATGTGATACAGTCTTTATTAATAGGAAGTTTATATTGAAGCAGTCTTTATTAATGGGAAGATTATATTTGTATTGTAAACTATACAATGTGATAGTCTTTATTAATGGGGAGATTATATTGAAGCAGCCTTTATCAATGGGAAAATTATATTTATATTCTAAACTATACAATGTGATACAGTCTTTATTAATGGGGAGATTATATTGAAACAGTCTTTATTAATGCAGGGTTGCCAACCTCTAAGGAGTCCAGTGTGGGAGATCTCCCTCCACTGGGCTTTCTTAAGTGTGAGACTTTTGACGGTGTTGTGGTGTAACGTCTTTTTCAGGTGTTAAGATAACATTTACCTATATATCAAACTAATCCTGGCTTTCACTGATTACTGTAACATCTGCATTGTTGATCTTTTTACTTCAAGATCTTTGCAGGAAATAAAAACAAAACATTTTTTGCAGATATATATTAGATTTTTATTTATCACACAAACAACTTGACATCAGAAATGCAACACATTATAGTCAACGGACTTTCTTGTAACAATTTCTTTCTTGGCTAGAACAGGTACCAGTCACTTTTTCGTTTTGCTGTCAATATTGCTAGTATGGCATGGGATCTTTCATGACCTGTCAAAAAATATAACAGTTCATATTAAAAGCAAGAAATTTACCATAGTAGTATATGAAAAGTTCATTACCATGAAAGATAAACATTTTTTTTTAGCCAGCAGATAATTTGACAGTGAAAAATATTTTCCAATTATTTCTGGCTACTATAGTACAGTATCCAAAGCAACAAACAGACCCTGATCATTTACTTGTACCTTGCTGCGATAACGTAGCTTTCTGAAGACGAGAGATTTTTTTATATATTCATAATATTGCGTCGTCAGAGCTACGAAGCGGTCCTATGCCAACTAATGGAGCAAAATCAAAAGTGTTAATCTGTAAAATTGCATATAATTCACACCTCATATGAGTATAATGTTATCAAAATATTGCATAATTGTTGAAAAAACGAATCCTTACCATGCAAAAACTCTTTTACGAAATTAACAAAGTCTGTATTGGGGGAAAAAAGAGAAACAACCGCCATGACAGATCACGCATGATGTTATCTCAATTATCCTTTCTATATATGGCCTGCATGGCCAAATGTAGTATTACTACTGATGCCGCCATGTTTACTACAGTTTTCATATTGGGTCATGACACCCATATTTGGACGTCTGACCTATATCGGAAGAGAGACAAACTTTCCAACATGGCGGTCAGTTCAGATTTCGACTACGCTTGCTACGTTAACTTGATAATTTAACGACATTTTAGGCAGAGTTTAACTTCAAGTTGTCAACAGATAGCAGGATATCAACAGAAATAGTTCATACTACAACCTTATTTATGGATGTGGACCAATGTGCTTTCAATTAATTCTAATATCGCCCCGGTGTGATTCACACCAGGCTTGCTCCATTACAAGGCATGGGATCGATTTAATATACCCGGCCGGGGAAGAGGAGGCCGGGTATTAATATTAGTACTAACTTGTACCATGTCTGCAATATTCGATTCAATTAATTTGTTGCATGATTATGTATACCTACGTACTACGTCTATCCAACATGTCAAAGCACTTCACAAAACTCGTTATTTTTTTTCATCACATCAGATTAAAAAGGGTTTAGTTGTTCAAGTCTTTGGTGCGTTAACGTTACATCATATTCGCCACTTATACTGCAAAAGTAACTTCAAACTTTTCATCAGTCATTCGTCTGTTCGTGTTTCAAGAATCGTTTTATCTTAATATTTGTGAAGACACGACCTGAAAACAATATTTCCTAATACACGACGCCATTATTAGTAGAACTTTCTTTTCAGCGCGATAGGTATATTCACTATTAAGTTTACGGGTGAAAACAACTAACCTTACGATATTATTTACATTCGTTTCCACCGGATGTAAAGTGACCCCTCGCGTCAGCTCACTTCCAAAGCACAACATTGCAATATGAGTTGTTTCCCTTTGTACGGTCCAAGCTATAAATTGTCGATTTATGGCTTCGCGTGGGATGGAGTGAGACTATTTTCGAATGCGTGATATTTATGGCTCACGTGGCGTGAGACATGTTTTAGCATGAGTAAGGACGTTTTAGCGTGAGTTTTTGTCTCACATCGTGAGAGTTGGCAACCCTGTTAATGGGGAGATTATATTGAAACAGTCTTTATTAATGGGGAGATTATATTTATATTGTAAACTATACAATGTGATACAGTCTTTATTAATGGGAAGTTTATATTGAAACAGTCATTATTAATGGGGAGATTATATTGAAACAGTCTTTATTAATGGGGAGATTATATATTTATATTGTAAACTATACTATGTAACACAGTCTTTATTAATGCGGAGATGGTATACACACTAGTCCAGTTTGGATCAGGAGATATCAGTGCGGAACAGTTCTAAATGTGTGGAAGGTTTTTAACTTAAATATAACATGCAATACCGAAAGTGTTTATGTATATAATTTTTGGTAACTTAGTAAATGCCCAGTCCTACTGAAGTAAATCTATGGCAGTGTTGTGAGTTTGGTAACTTAGTAAATGCCCAGTCCTACTGAAGTGTTGTGAGTAATGAAACTAGAAATGACATTGATATCTATAGCTGACATGAGATGTATAATGTTATGTAAATCTAAGTGTCAACATTGTTCTTCTCTTCAGTGTATCAACATGGTGGACGATGTGGACACAGTGATCAAACTGTTACAGAGCAACATGGTAGGTAGAGAGAAGACACACATACACACAGGATCGCACCTCTATAATTGGCTAATGGATACATTATGCACAAAAATGAATTACATTTCACCCTACAGCTGTTAGAAGAGTTACAGAATACAAGTACAGGTCAAATGAGTACAACATAAAACCATGGTCTACGAAATCCAAGTGTTCAGCTCTTGATGTACCCATCTTCTCTACTATCTGCTGTCTGTAATGCAGATCATTGCATGGGAGTTTTCTCCCTTCTCAATCACTAGAACTTGGTAGCTAATCAGTGCAGGTAAATACAGGTAGAATAATTAAGTATTGAAATAAAAAGTTATCACCTTCGTGTGATAAATCATATTTGTTTATTGTTAGCATGGCGGGATTGTACAATTGATCAGTTCGAAATTTAGACTTGAACTACAAACAATTATGTCCAAACATTATTTGAACACTTGCCTATATAGATACCTGTTTTGCTTTGTACAGACTGCCAAAGCAATGTGTGGAGTGTTCATGCCCTGCAATGGATTTGAAGACAGTGTAAACCATCACAAACAGCCTGAGGTAAGATGATCAGTAACACTACATGGTCTGATGTGGAATTGAAAGTCCTGGTGGTGTGAATATCCTCCAACCCCTACAGTGATAGCTGTTGTTAAATGTTACATTTGTTGTAACAAAGTCACAACATTTAGTCACCAATTGGTGACTTAATGAGCTCTTGATAGCTTTTGTTAAATGTTACGTTTGTTGTAACAAAGTCACAACAATAAGTCACCAATTGGTGACTTAATGAGCTCCTGATAGCTTTTGTTAAATGTTACATTTGTTGTAACAAAGTCACAACATTAAGTCACCAATTGGTGACTTAATGAGCTCTTGATGGGTTTTGTAAATTTTACAGAAAAATGTCATATAAACATCAAATTAAGTGTTGGATGTTACAGTTGTGGGATTGCACAACGTTACACGATGTGCGGTGTGCGCACGATGTGTGCACGGTGTGTGAACGGTGTGTGCACGATGGGCGAACGATAAAAAGCTGGACGATCATTGCTTGCGCACATATGTGCGCACGATGGACGGACGTTGTGCGATAACAATCGTGGTTGGTGTAAATTGAGGAATGCCTTAACAATTTATACGGTTTCGTGTTTAAACATATAAACTTGATGTTTACGTATGTTTCTATATTCTAGCAACATCTATAAACTTATCTTTCTGTCTATACATTCTTATATTTAGAAATTGTGTTTTCTGTGTTTTTAAACAAACTTAATCGACACATGTAAAATTACAACACAATCCCGTATACAGGTAAACATAACCACTTTGTACATGTACCTGGACCGTAGTTTTCTCCCCGCCTGGGGCACTTACGTAACTCGTCGGGTAAGGCCGGGGGTGTGAAAATCCAGGTGAAGGGGAGCTATAGGCAAACGAATGCAAATAACAAATACTATTCATTACGGTCAAACGGTATCGCATATCAGCTCTGTGTGTCAGGCACTGGTCAGGTAAAACTCCGGACACTCATAAAATTGTTATTTACCTGTTCTGTTACCTTGGAGCCAAACCCATTCTTGACAGCCTTACGGTCGCTGTAATACTGTGTAACACGCATTGTGAAATTGTGTAATCTTGATTATTGTGATGAGAAATTACAGATATATACACAGTGTACATTATCGTATACAAGCTTTCCGTATTTTTGTCATTCCGTAATTTTGATCTTCAAATGATACTAAATCGCACAGTTGTGCGGAGAGAATCGCACAACGGGGCGAACGATTGCTAAATCGCACAGTTGTGCGCACCATGTGTGGACGATGTGCGGACGGTGTGTGAACGATGTATGCACGGTGTGCGCACGCTATTTTTGGTGCGTTGTGCGGTCCCACAACTGTATCTTATAAAAAAAACTGGAAATTTACATAACTGTGAAGCATTGCCCTTGATATGTGAATGACAATTGATGAGGGCGTATTGACCTTTCAGACCAATGCTTTAGTCCAGACCCCTTTGGTGGCAGCCACACCTGTCAAGGCTGGCAACATCTGTACGGACTGTGTCAACTTCATGACTGACATCAAAAGTCTTCTTACTGATCCCAACACTGAGGTAGGAACTCACTCTACTAGCCATGTCAGCTGTTCTAGTGTATGCCATTCTAGATATTTACATGTCACAGAGAAACAATATTGGTGTAAGAAAATGGCCACCATAGATGCCATCTTGAAAAAGCTGATGATCAAATTGTTGCACTAATTTTGCTGAAATTAATGGAAATGGTCAATGCATGGTCTTGACCAATTCTTGTTAATTGGAGCTGATTTGAAATTCAATATAGATTCTTTCTTAAAAGTGTACTGTAGTTTAAATTTAAATCCCAAGTGTACCACACTTATTTGTATGAAGTGTAATGAAGGTGATCAGTGTATGGTATCTGTTTATGGTCCAGGCCAATTCTTTTTGAAAGTATTTTGGAAGTGATTTGAAATCCAATATGTATGGCTGACATGGCCTCAATTTTGAAAGACATTTAAAATCAAAAATTAAATTTTAATTAACCAATTTTGTACAAATTTTGCTGGAAGTGATCAATTCATGGTTTCAAACAATTTCTGGTAAATTATGATACTCCATACCAGTCATAATGATGTAAACATTGTTTGGAAGTGCTAGGTTGTAGTGTTTCTTACAATGTATGTTAATCTTTTAACCATTTAATTAGGCCATGCATTTGATGCAAGTATTAGGCCTCTCAGGCCTCTTGTCTACGCTTTGGGGTGAACATTATATCAAAGTTGACCCGAGACATGACTTCACAATAACAATTACATAACATTGAAATTTACTGTAAATGTTTTTAACAACAAATTTCCAACTTTTCTAACTCATTTGATGGCCAGTAACTGTACATGTTAATTGTGTGGTTTTATTTTTACAGAGTCAGCTGATTGGAATGATAAAACAGATTGTGTGTGCCCAGCTTGGCACGGTAGAGTCCATTGTAAGTACCCTTCAGCACTACCAATCATGTTGTCTTGTCCCACAGTATTTGTAACTAGAGTAATACAACCTTTTAATTGTATTAGTGTAACATGGTTCAGCTGCAGTCCCAGTAAGGACAGTAGACGTGACGTCACTTCCATGGCAGCATTGAAACTCTCATTATTGGCTCGGTGAAAAACGGATTTTGAATTTCTGTGATCTTGGTAATGAGAGTTTGTTGTATGTTGAACATTACAGTGTGATGACCTGGTGGATACCTACGTGCCTCAGGGTCTGTCACTGCTCTCCTCCTATGTGGTAAGTTTCTGTTTATAGGCCCAAAGTCGTCAGGGTCTGTCACTGCTCTCCTCCTACGTGGTAAGTTTCTGTTTATAGGACCAAAGTCGTCAGGGTCTGTCTCTGCTCTCCTCCTATGTGGTAAGTTTCTGTTTATAGGACCAAAGTCGTCCGAGTCTGTCATTGGTTGTCTCCTATGTTGAGCGATCAATTACAGGCTCACTTCCTATGAAGTAAGTCGTCGTTGATGGGAAGTCTCCAGACATAATAAAAATGAATAGCTGATATGGTCTGCAACATTGTTTTCAACAGATTCCAAGAAAAATCATCCTTTCTAAACTAGCTGGTTTTTAAATTCAAATAAAAGGAAACTTTGTGGATTAAGAAGACAGTAACTTTAGTATTTCTTTAAAGATTTCAAATTAAGGATCCCTGTACTACCACCAAAAACTGCAGCTGCGCATTGGAAACCTTTTTTTCCAGCATGACTATACCTTTGATAAATCATTTCTGAAAAGAAACCATACCTTGCAGGACTTTTATGAATAATATTGAAGACGTTATAAAACAAAATATAATCAACAGTGTTCTTAGTGAAAAAGAATAGTGGGCCTAGACTGATATTTGAACCCTGGATCTTTTATTGTTATACTGTTGCTAAAACAAATTGAGCTACCTGGTCAATGGAATAGCTCTTGCTCAACTGTGCTACAGCTATATCAAAATTAAGGGGAGATTACTGTGTATATGTAAAAACCACAGTACAGTGGGTCAGGGATCCTTACCACAGTAAAGAGGGTCAGGCATCCTTATCACAGTACAGTGGGTCAAGGATCCTTACCACAGAACAGTGGGTCAGGGATCGTTACCAAAGTAAAGTGGATAAGGCATCTTTACCACAGTACAGTGGGTCAGTCATACTTACCACAGAACAGTGGGTCAGGGATCCTTACCACAGTACAGTGGGTCAGGCATCCTTACCACAGTACAGTGATAGGCATCCTTACCACAGTACAGTGGGTCAAGGATCCTTACCACAGTAAAGTGGGTCAGGCATCCTTACCACAGTACAGTGGGTCAGGCATTCTTACCACAGTACAGTGGGTCAGGCATCCTTACCACAGTACAGTGGATCCCTTTGGGTCAGGGATCCACAAGTTTGTTTGACTGTTGGAGGAGGAAAATTTATTAGAGTAATAATAATGAAGATTTCTAACTTCGAGCGTTTCAATAGAATAAATGGAAATGGAAAAGCTGAATGTAAAATGTTAATATACCAATTATAGCTTTAGTGTAAGTTATCATACAAGGATAGTGTGTTGTGTTTGGACAACAATATCATGACCATGTATATATTTATATACAGATTTCTGTTTTTAAAGACTACAATTACTGTTTATTCACAGGATCCTCAGGTGACATGCAGTGCAGTTGGTTTCTGTACAGGCACAGACACGCAGGAACTTCGAACCAAATTCAGGGACATCAAAACCTTTGTCATGGTTGTCCTGAGAAAGGTAGTTATCATATGAACAGTTAACATACTAAGAAAAATAAACAATTATCAAATATTTACCAGGTTAAGTTTCAGCTGATTTAGCCCAAAGAGCAAAAATGTATATAAAAAGGCCATATTGATTTAAGGGACATCTTCTCAGGAACTAAATGATGAATGTAAACCATATTTGGAGCACTATCAGGTGGCGATGATTTCAAAAAGTATGAATATAGTGGGTCTGAACATGGGTAATTTGGCCGTAGACCACAATGCCAAAATTAGTACAAAGACAGGGAAAGTAACTCCAATTTTTTTTATTTATTTTTGCTTCATGAAGAGTAAAAAATTCAGAAACAAGATCTGAATTAGAAATTTCCGTTATAAACCAGGAATACTGTTAACCTTGAGACATTATAAGCATACTCCTCATAAATGGACAACCATATTTCAACTGAATTTACTACAAAATAGTCTTGGGACCAGAGAATCAATTGCTGTACAAAGAAATGTTGTTGTTCTACAGGTTACTGGAAATGCAATAATATTTTTGATGATAATATTTTGAGATGATTGCTTATATATCCAGGTAAGCAATACAGGACCTCCATAAGGCCTTGTGGTATTTCTTGGCTACATTGAAATCACAATGTTTGGCCTTTGCCTATGCTATGACATTTTTCCATCAGGCTCACTTTTTTTATAAAACGTATTTATTTTCTCATGGTTCTAACAAAGTATTGAGTGTTTTTCAAACCAATTCAAAATTGAGACATTTTCAGTTTCCTCCTGACTTCCAACAGACCAAACTTGATCTAAATGATACTTTCATGGTTTCCTTTAACGTTATCTGTAATTATGCCTTTTGATGGGCCGACATTACATCAGTTGTATACAAGGGTTGTGACCCAAAGCTTTGTAGAATGTACGTGATGGTTGATCTGGTGTACTTACAGATGGGCGTCCATGTTACCACCAATGCATTAGAATGTGATGCCTGTAAGGCAATAACTACCGATGTCAGAAATATGGCCCGTGACCCCACCATGCAGGTAAGTCGCATTTCATGGCGCTATAACTACTATTTAAAGATATACAGCTTCGATTTTGAACAATGTTTCTATTTACATTTATACATTTATGTAGAGAAATACAATTTTGCAGTGTTGAATTTGTAGTGTTTCTATTTAGATAATGTTCAACTTTCTTTAATTCATACAATCGCCTTACTGTGGAAACATTCTCTAATTTCAGAGGAAGGTGGTTGACTTTGTTGAGGTGAATCTGTGTGCTCATCTAGGTGAATTAGCTGAAATGGTAAGCCCATGTTACTCCTTTATATGGGACTCCTTTTATGGTCACCATCATCAGATGGTGCAGTAGGCTGTTCAAATCACCCTTCATACATGGTCCCTCGTCTGGCTGTTCATCCATCTGTAATTCTGTCTGTCCTTAAACAGTTCTTGTTAGCCTTATTTCTGAAAACAAATACTGGAGAGAGCTTTCAAAAATTGTATATGAAGATTTCCGGTATTCCTAAGTTATGCGTATTAAATATTGGGTGTGATTAGAAAACCCAGATGGCCAACAGGCAGCCATCTTTGATTTTGAGTGTTAAAGTTTGATTATTCTGTTTCTTAGAAAGTACTGGAGGGATAACATTTGCCATAATGGCCAAAAAAACAAAAGACATTATGAGGTTTAAGTTTGTGTAGACCTTATACAAGGTTTAAGTTTGTGTAGACCTTATACAAGGTTTAAGTTTGTGTAGACCTTATACAAGGTTTAAGTTTGTGTAGACCTTATACAAGGTTTAAGTTTGTGTAGAC